CTGCAGAGTTTTGCGAGCAAGAAAAAAACTCATAGTTGTTTAGGATTATAGAACCTGCCAGTACCATAGCCAAATCATCGTACTCAATAGTGCTTTCACGTACTATGGCATGAGCATCTCCGCTACTTCAAGTTACCATACGTGAAGCCAGGTTGGAAGCTTGTTACCAAGTTTCACGTTGATCGGTAACTTCCGCTCTCCTCTTCTAACCAGATGAAGTTCAAATTCAAGAAGCTGCATGTCCCATCCATCTTTGTTGACCGCCGTACACGATGTGCTCGCGCAGTCCGTGTTGCCTGTCCAAGCGACCGAGTCTGCTCATCCTCTCAGCACTGAATATACTACAGTAACTGCGCAACTTGGTGCAGTCATCAATACAGCTCACCGCCTAAATCATGCGCTGAACCAGCTTAATGACCTACCCCTTGGCGAAAACGCCACCAAACTCGTGGCCCTCATGAAGGAGCACACAGCTTTGACATCTTCAATCAATCAGTCAACTGCTGCCTCTGTTTCCCTCTCGTCTCTACTGCGAGGAGACACCAGAGCAATTTATCCGGACGCAAGTCCTCCACATCCTGCAAAGATCGCGGAATGGGGCCGTAATCTTGGCATGGAAGTTTTCGTAGATGGGTCGACGACTGTCCTCGCAGGAAAAGTACTTGTACTTGATATTGATATCAATGACCATGTCGCTGCTGTCAAGACGTCCTTCGCCAATAATGCAAACGGTAACGGGAACACATCGGCAGCACCAGAGCTAGATGCCTTTCTCGCGCAGGAAGTGACCCGCTGGATCAATGCAGCAAGACGCGCTGCTGGCATAGATTCAGCTGTCGGACATTCGAGAGAGGATCCTGCGATTGAAGCTGCACGCCGTAGCCGTGCAATACAAGAACACTTGCGATATCTTATGATGCTTGACGGGCTCGCGGCTGCCGAGAACGAGAAAGGACTTCGTTGGTTCATGGAGCCAACTGTAGTTTCGGATCACATCAGAAAGCAGGTTGCGTACGTTTGTTCTGTCGTCGTCCTTGTTTTATACTGATGCGTGATATTCACAGTTCACCACAGATGGAAGATCTCGATAAATTCTTGACACAACATGCCCTTCCATTGCCCTATCTCGTTGCTCCTTCGCTATCTTTCATAGTCTGGCTTTCACCCCGTGGATACCTTCAACTCCTTCGCAGCTCTCCGCCGTCCAAACAATCGTCAATGTGGAACATTGACATCCCTATAGCACATCTCAAGACATCGATGCTTGATACTCTAGAAGATGTCACCATCGCTACGCTAAAATTGGTCCCTTGCACTGAAGTAGCAAAGTCCAAGATGGACTCGAGCGATGTCCCTGGAGATCACATACTTCTGGCTGCCCCCTCGCAGATGTGGGTACTCGACTTCACCACTAAGCTACCACAGAATGGCGTGGTGATGTGCCAGAGTCGTATGCGTGTAATTCAAGGAATTGTTGAGTCCCGACCCATCGACATGATCTCAATGGGGAACATGTCTAGCATGGGCTCAATGTCAAGTCTAGGTAACATGAGCAATATGAACTTTGGAGAATTTGGTGTGGCGTCTTCACAGACAAATGGAAGCGGGGGAACTGGTAGAAGCTGGGTTGACTTATTGGTCAGTCACTTCTCTCTACAGTTATAGGCATATGCATGTGCTGATACCTGTACCTCGTCTAGGTCAATAAAAATTCATCAGCGGAATACTACACTGCAACTTATGTGTGTGGAACACGCCCAGGTACAAACACACACTGACCATTGATCTAGAAGTCACCGAATGACATCCATCCACCGCTACACCTTCGCCTTCTAGCACCCCCGGAACCAGGCTTTCTCCTCCAGAGAGTCCCGGTGAGGAGCGTTAAACAAGTCTCGCGAGTATTAGAGGCAAGTTTCATCTCGACCAAACTGTTAAGTTATGCTTAGAGCATATTCTTCCAGGTTGTTAGAGGACAATGCTGGCTCAACGAATCACTGAGCATACTTCAATGGTCGCCTGAAACTCCAGTGCTGAAATCATCCCATCGACCGTCAAATGCAGAACAAGGAATGCCACCAGAAGACGCAGTATCAACTACTCTACTCGCCTCGGTCCTCGCTGGAACAATTGCGCCGCAATCTATTCCAGTGAACGTCTATCTCCCCTCCAGTGCTTTGTCTGCATTGTCCCAACCAGTTGATCCATTTACATCACAACACAGCGGGCTTGGCATGGGTCCTCCTGCAAGCGCAGGCTCCAGCAGTGGTGCAAGCTTGTTCGGTCCGAGCGACTTGGAGATGGAGATGGATATTCCAGGGCTGAGCATGAGCATGGGTGGGAGTATGGACATGGATCTCGGCATGGATCTTTCAACCCCCACTGATCCCATGCAGCAACCACATGGTTCTGAAACATGCCCTCCCCCGATGATCGTGCTCACCTCTCCGAGGCCTGTGCCTAGGAACGGGCTGGTCGAAATACGGATCACGTCGGGCGAAGGACATGGGGAAAATGGTGTTTGGGTTGAAGCCTCTCCAGGTGTTGAGACAGGATACATGTCAGATGTTGTCAGGCGAGGAGGGGTGTGGAGCCTTCCTGGGCGAGTATGGAACAAAGGGTAATCAGCTGTTGGCTGGGATGCAAAGTTCAGCAAGAAAGATGTACTGTTGCCTATATTTTTAAATGAAGTTTGAGGAGCACTACATAGCAACATTGTGTGGGTGCATCGTAATCCCACTCATTCAGATCGACGATGGAAGGATATATATTAGGGGCTATTAAATAATATTGTTTTGATAAGTCACTTGCGGTAATAGCTAATTTATTTGAACGAAATTATCCTGATCATTTCGGGTACGACTCTATTCAATTTCTTACTATCGAATTTGCACTGATAGCTTCATCGAGAGACTGCTATCCACACATTAAGGATGGAGAGGGTACAATTTCAGCAGGAGCAGGTTCATTACCCCTTCAAAGGCTTGATTTTTGACTAATGGAACCTAGATGCTCGCAGAGCTCAAGGATCTCGTGCAAAAAAGTTTGTTCAACCAAGTGCGTGGGTCTCATACTATATCCCTCTAGTCCTATCTAACTCTGCTTCTAGTCTGAGGTTAAGCAGATTGTGAAAAAACGTACACAGTTCGAAACCGCACTTGTCCGCCGCATCCCAAAAAAGGGTGACTTCCTGCGATACGCGGCGTATGAGATGAATCTGGAGCAGCTGAGGCGGAAGCGCGTGGAGAGACTGAGTACGTGCTATATCTCAAAGTTTCCGACTCGCTGACTGTTCTATGGTTTCCTCTCAGAACTGGAAAAGACTGCACCGTCAATATCAGATTACGCTCTTGTTCGCAGACAATTCCAGATATTTGAACGTGCGCTTAAGAAATTCAAGTCGGACGTAGGATTGTGGATACAATATATCCAAGTCGCAAAACGTGAGGGGGCTCGTTCACTAGTAGGGCGCATAACAGCCAGGTGCATCCAGTTTAAAATTTGGTCAGTCTGTTTTTAACCGTGCATATAGGGCCCTCCAGCTCCATCCAAGAACCCCTGCATTATACATCATTGCCGCCTCTCACGAACTTAACCACATGTCCCCTTCCGCGGCACGCGCCCTCCTTCAGCGTGGTCTTCGACTCAATGCAGACAGCGTCGATATGTGGAGAGAGTACGTGCGAATGGAATTGGGTTTCGTCGAGGGGATGAAACGAAGGTGGACTGTGCTGGGAATTCATGAGGAAGGTCACCCTATTGTTGAGGCAGAGACAACTGCTGCGGAAGATATGGCGACATTGACCCCAGAAGAGATAGCAGCCGAGAAGGGAGGTGACGAAGGTGAGAGGGCACGGCAAGCCATTATGGATGGTGCTATTGTCAAGTCCGTGATTTTGAGCGCTGCAAAAGGTCTGTTTGTCATTCCTCTATAAGGATTCATATTGAGTTGGACCACAGCTCTGCCTAGTATAAATTTATTTACAGCTCTCGAGGTCCTAATTCGTTCGTATCCTAGCCAAGAGCGCCTTCGCACGGCCCTTCTCGATCATCTATACAGTGTTCTTAAAGACACACTACAAGGCGACCCTCATGTGGTGAAAATGCTGGCGACAAGAAAACTTCGAGAACTTACATCTCAAGAGAATTTTGTCATGGCCGAAAGTGAAGAATTCGTCGATGCCCTCCAAGCCGCAAATGAGTCCTTCTCCTTGGCTGTTGACGCCGGGAGCACAAACGCCTCTGGGATGGCTGATGTCTATGTTGAATTTGTAGAGGCGTGGTGCAAGTTGCCCACGCTGGATCCGAATCTAGTGAGTCTAATGTTGTGCAGCTCTCGTGGATTTCGGCTTATTCAACAAAACTAGCGTGCATATCTTGTAGCTTCCCTCCGGAAACTTGCCCGACAGCCGAACGCGCCGCCTTCGTTGCAGGCTGCACACGTCCAACTAGCATTGCCTTCCAAGAAAGATCTCTAGTTTGCATGTAGCTATACCGCAACATAAAATCACCATAATGCCCCGTGGTCCAAATGGGACCAGATTCGTGGAGAGTATGGGCCAGACGGGGAGATTATGGAAAGTGTAGGATCAACCCAACGAAAGTGATCACCTTTGGTATTCGTTTGACTAGCTCTCTCTGCCACCTTGCTCGTAGCGAGATGTGCGCTTGGTAATCCATGTTACATAGTACTGCGTACGCACATCCATCATATGTCATGAACATATAACAGCAGACATATCCTCGGCGATAACACCTTCATTCTGCTCCTGCGGCGGACAAGCACTGGATTTGCCTCGAGATCAGAAACTGACACAGGAAAGGTGATCAGAAGTCATCGCCGAAGGTATTTACTTCCCAACGACCTCACCCTGCTTGATGCAATCTCGTTTCAACGATGTTGGATGCACTGCCAGATGCCTATGAACCCGTTTTAAGTCGTCTTTATATCAAGGCAACACCAGACTTCCGTGGAATAGCTTTCCTCTGCCCCCTCAGTAATGCCAAGCTTCAGTAGGATCTTTTTTGCCCTAATATCTTTGGCCGCCCTCCCTCTGACTTGGGCTATAGTCAATGGTCCTGTCATTTCTGCCAACTTTCCTGATCCTGCTATCCTTGTTACTAGTGGGGGTACTTATGCATTTGCAACTAACTCCGGCAACATCAACATTCAGGTTGCAACGTCGACTGATGGTGGTGTAACTTGGGAATTGCAGTCTGGTGTTGATGCACTCCCGAATGTAGGGTCTTGGGCAACTGCAAACAGTACTTGGGCACCTGATGTCATTGACAGAGGGGATGGAACTTTTGTGATGTGTAGGTCTCGATCTTATACACCTCCAATAATATTGAACTAAGGCATGGCCTGCAGACTATGCCGCATGGTCGACCTCACACAGTACTCATTGTGTAGCAGCTGCTACTTCCGTCACCCCTGTCGGACCGTACACTCCCGAGTCGCACCCCATTGCCTGTCAAACTCCAGGCGGTGGTGCCATTGACCCCGCAGGGTTCCAGGATACCAACGGTACACGCTACATTGTGTACAAGGTGGATGGGAGCAGTCTTGGAGGAGGTGGACCTTGCGGGAATGCCAACGGAGAATATTCTACTCCCATCATGCTTCAGGAAATGGAGGCTGATGGTATCACGCCTACTGGGGAACCGGTCCAGATTTTGGATAGAGGGCAATCCGATGGACCCCTCATCGAAGCTCCAGCGCTTATCTTGCATAATGGAACGTAAGTCGATATACCTTGAACATGTACTTGGATCCGGGACTGACCACAAAAATCATAGTTACGTGCTTTTCTTCTCCTCGAATTGCTACAACACCGATCTTTATGACATCTCATACGCAACTGCACCATCTATTTCCGGCCCATACACCAAGGCTTCATCGCCGTTGCTTATGACTGGTGACGATGGTCTCACAGCACCTGGCGGTGCGACACCACGCCTGGATGGCGAGTTTATGGTGTTTCATGCAACCGTAAACACAAATCCGTTGACTCGTTATATGTATACGGCGACGGCGATGTGGAATGGGACTATTGTGAGCACATGATAAAACCACATCATGTTTCTAACGAAACGTGCGCATCATAACTTTTATACACAATTGACTATCCTTATGACTCGAACTGCTTCTTGAAATGACTGATTGTACCAGGCGCCTCAGATAGAAAAATCACTAACCTGGGCTGAGTAACTATCAATACATTACGTACTGGCATATGCATGGTTTCGCACCGGTGTTATATTAGCTTACTTGTGCTAATTATTTTTTGAGCATTGTCGTTTTGCCTTTTATATTCAAGACATTCTCGTGAGAAGGAGTAGTCGGTACGTCGAACACAGGACAACTTGGTTGTTCGTCATGTACAGCATCGTTCCCACGTAAGGTCATGTGTAGTAACACCCACCGCGCTATCATTAATGCTATGTCTAATATGATACGGGAATATGTTCATCCGTTCACTGATGCTACTGTTTGCGTAACTACTGCGGAGGGATAGCATACAAAATGTGGGCAACTGGGCCTCTTATTACTCGTCCATCCGTGTACGAGCAAACTGCACAGTTCATTCCTAACTAATCATCTATACAGATGACGAACACCAGAGTCATGGTAGTGGGTGCTGGCATCGCTGGTCCCATTCTTGCAATCTTCTTGAAGACTAGAGGCTATGACCCCATCATGTACGAAAGACTCCCGAGTCCAGGAGAGGGTGGACTCAGCTTCGTGTGAGTACGCATGCCTCTTCCTCGTGATTGCCGTACGGAATAACCTACGCAGGCTGCAACCCAACGGTCTCCGTGTGCTATCACTCATCCCCGGCCTCGTTGAACAGATCCCCGGCTATTCTCCAGATAGCATGGTTCACTGCTCCTCCTTGGACGGAAAGGAGGACATTCTCGCCGAGGCTGATATTTCGCCAGATGCAGCACGAGAACAATTTGGCTTCCCCTTCATCGGAGTCCGGCGTGCAGAGTTTCAACGGTTTTTGATCGACACGGCTGAGAAGCACGGTATCGAGATCAAATGGGGTCACCAGGCAATTGAATATGAGCAAAGCGAGGACGCAGTAGAAGTCACATTCGCGAATGGCGTCAAGGACACAGCAAGCTTTGTCGTGGGCTGCGATGGGCTGCATAGCAATACCCGAATTGCACTCTTTGGGAAAGAGAAGGCAAACTTCACTGGATTGGTGCAGGTGCGCTCGTTTTGGTGACGGTACTGAGGCGTAGGCTGATATGAATGTGATTTGCAGTTCGGTGGACTATCTCCAACACCACCTGCTTTCTCGGGAAAGTTTACGTTTGTGAATAATTACGGGAATGGTCGCCACATGGTTTCGTACCCTGTTGCGGAGGACAAGTATTCATGGGCGTAAGTGTTATCTCGATTACTGTCTATGGGTCTGATTATCCTGGGATTCAGGATCACTACTCGGCAAGCTGAGGCAAAGGAGGATTGGAAAACACAACACGTGGAACAACAGGACGAAATCCGAAGAGGACCCCTCTCTGATTGGGGGTTCGGTGCCGGAGATTTGGTAAGGACAGGCCAAAATATCATAAAGGTTGGTTCACTCTCGCGACAAACCTTGAGTTCTCTGAAATGGATGGCTTGCTGGCAGTATGGTCTCTACGACCGACCTGAGCTCAAGTCGTGGTTCAAGGGAAGAATCGTTCTTTTGGGTGATGCAGCTCACCCCACGAGTCCGGTATGTAATTTTATCATTGAGTTCCATGGCGCTCATCGATATCATCATACCTAGCATCTGGGACAAGGTGCCAATCAAGCGTTTGAAGACATTTACCATTTAATGCGGCTTTTGAAAAAATACAACCCTTCTACTGGCCAGCCTTCGACAGAGTTGTTGTCGCAAGTCTTCATAGATTATCAAGATCTTCGGCTACCGCGTACATCCGAGCTGGTGAGGGGGGCTAGACAGCAAGGGGAGGTTCGGGTTATTGAAGGGATTGAAGCATGTAGGGTGAGAAATGAAAAAATACGGATAGGGTCCCGTGATGAAGCGGCGAGGAAGGCAATGAGTGAATTGTTATCTGGACCGTTTAAGGACAGTGAAGTGTAGTAGCATTATCCTAGTACGAACGGGATTTGCCGCATAACGCGTGTCACAATATTAATTCGTGTCAGGAGCAGCGACAACAACACAAGCGTGTCCCGTGATTCCTGCATATTTCCACAACGTTAACGCAACCATGCATGACCCATTCGAAGTGAGAATGCAGTTCCTCGGGCTCATTCGCAAGCTGAACGCGTAAGTCATCGAATCCTGTCCGTCCGTCACTCGCTCATGTACATCTTACTACCACAACTTATATCTGCTCGACGTTCAATTCAATGCATTTGATGGATTTGCATCAATCGTGGCGAGCAGCTCACAACAATCGATACAGAAAGTCGTTGCATTTGCGTTGAAGTACTTTTCGAGATGCGGGGAGGATCTGTGGGAGTGCATTATTGAAGAGTGTCAGAAGGTAAGTGTCGTTTTTAATATTATTTCCTCGTCGATGCAGCATGTCTCTTTTGCCCATTGTCCCTCTGTTATGAGATAACACCTGACGCCAAGTGCAGGGTTCCATCAATCATCGCATAAATATTCTTTACTTTCTTGACTCCCTTTGCGAAACATCGCTACTAGCGAAGGCGCATCAACTCCCAGAACAGTCGTCTTCATCGTGAGTTTTATCACGCCTGGTAACTTGACCCTGAATGATGGAACTGTACTAGAAGTAAGCAAGTCAACAACGCGTTGTATGTCGACTACGTCTCTCGGGATCTGACGCAGATTGTGGAATGCGTTGTACCTGTGGGTAGGCAAGGGCTACCTAATCTACCGAGTACCAAACAGGTGCGCCCATACTAGTCTCTACATTGGTTCTTGCTTAATCTACAAACTTACAGATCTTAGAAAACTGGCGCACAAAACGAATAATAGAGCCACAAAAAGTTGACGAAGTCCTCTCTTTGCTCTCTTCTAGAGACTCAGCACCAGATACGACCTCGACATCTGTGGCACCTTCAGCGGCTAAATCAGAGCCCCATCTCTCTCGCGGCGAAATATTCAAGCGCATCGAAGAGGACCGAGAGCGACATAAACGCCTTCGAGAACGACGGTGGGTTCAGGCGCAGCCTCACTCTGGCTCTGCAGTCCCGTCTTATTCGATGTTCACGCTTGCGAGTTTCTTGCCGCTGAGCGACACAGAAAACGCGGAGCTCGCGCTGGATATAGAATTTGAAAATGAGTGGGAGGCAACAAGCGATTGGAATGAGGACGACGTGGAAGCGACCGCAGAGGAGAGGGAGCTTTGTCATCCGCATTTGAAACGGAAGGGATTTACGAATGACGAAGACGAAGGAGAGCAAGAGATGGACATAGATCTGTCGTGATATAGTACTGTGCTACGCAGTGCAGAGCGTGAGCGATGCTTCTAGATTCTGACACTAGATTCTGAAACATCACTCCCGTTGTGTCGTTATGGTCAGTTGTTGTCAGATGAGTTCACAGTGATTGATGTGCAGAATCACAGTGTCATGTATAGCTGGAACGATAAGTGTCAATGCGTTTCGAAGATGCTGGAAGAAGAAACGGCACGTCATCAGGGAAACACAGAGTGCTACAGAGCGCTCTGCGGCATTCTGAAGCACAATCTAACCCGCTGATGGTGGGCGCTACTCAAGTGTCAGTCCCCTGTCTTGATTTAGCCGAGTATCTTTCTTCCCTCTCTTCAACTAGTCGGGGCCTGTGCGGCGGCGGCCCAGGACCTAGGTTGTGAATTTATCTAGATCATGATAATGATCCAAACTTGAGGCAAGCTCCCAGGCCATTATCCATTAATCCACCGATCTATCAATGCTGTGATTGTGCTGACATTCGAATTTCGTGATCATCGATGGCGAGTCATGATACATCATGATAAGTACAAAGTATATCCATTGTGCGTGTCACTTTTAGTTTCTATTCTGTCACTATTCGTTCTTACAATTAGTGAATGGACAGATTCGCCCAAGTTTGAATTCGAGACACTGACAGGCCGGGAGGAGCACTCATTGTCTCGAGATGCTCGAGGTGATTGTCACAAACTGTTCAAGGCCAAACGCATAAGAGAATTCTTGTCACAGACGAAATCTACTGATATACCCAACTGTCTACAGATCAATGTTGCTCCTCTCGTCGGGCCCATTCCACATCACATCCTGCTTAGCATCCAAAGTCTTCCTTCCTTGACGATTGTGGACAGCTTGAATTCCCATCCCTGAACACGCCGCTTTCCTGATGACCATTCAATGTGTCAAACGAAACCGATGAGCCGCTCAGCATCCAGAAATTACGTACCGTATACTCGCAAGTCACCTCGTCGCCCTTCTTATTCAGGTAGCTACCGGACCATCAGTCACTTGCCTCGATGAAGATATGAGCGTGACTTACTTACAAACTACGTTCCCGTTGTTCATCTTCCAAGCGCTGGTGACTAGTTCGTAGGTCACACCGTCGACATCCAACGTTTCTTGGCATGTTGCGCATGCAGCGTTGGCGCCAACGAGGAAGGCGAGCAGAGCAAGAATGGTGAAGCGGGAAGTGAACATCATAGAGCTTGTTGCAGTGAGCAATGCAAAGCCATAGGGTATGTGCAGGTATTTTATAGGCAGATGTGGCCTTACGATTTGCGAGATTTTCGCTTCGCCTCCGAGGCTGTTACATGTTACTCACTTCGCGCTTCTACAGTTGAGTTGGTCGCCACAAGTCAAAACTTATTCTAAACAAGCTAAAGTGCACTTGGTGTAGCTCAATTGGACTAGTACTATTCGCAGGAACAAAAGACTCATAATTTTCGCTGGTCAGAAATATGATACTTACGATGAGCTTACGGCGTTCGTGGGTTTACGGATTTCGCCGGACGAAGGGGCTCATCAGAGGGCTTGACCGCTACCCTAATCCGACCTTCTTAAGAGTGATCAACTACTCCTTATGTATACCGAGTGGAGTCCGGTCACGTGATGGACCTTGACCACCCTGTTTGGAGTCACCTTCAGGGACTGGGTTATGTCTAGGCACCATCTAGACACACGACCAGGAATGGGTCTCTCTCCCACGCCGGGACGTTGAGCTCTTTGTACGTTATTCGATCATGTGCCGAATCACATGACTGTGGGACCCAGTGAAGATGCCCAGCTTCACTTTATACACATGATCGTGTAACCCGTCTCCTAAGATAAGGGTGTAAGGCCATAAAGCAAAATCTTCGGTTTTCTGGGTTCGAACCGAAGATGGAGCGTTCTTCGGATTCTGTACCACTTGAACTATGACATCATATATGCATAATGGCCGCCGGCTAAGTTGCTACAGTGTACTACTAGTACTACCTAGCAGTTCTAGACTCGCTAAAGCGTTCGGTAAAAAAATTCGGCTGATCGTTCTAGCACAGCTAACAACAATGGAGTCAGCCCAGTTTCTCGTACCCTACTCGGTTCTTTCGAGTCTCTGCAGGGCCTCCACACACAAATTGTTGGACCTCGTACGAGTGAACTCAGATATGTGTACGTGTGTCACTTTTAGTTTTTCTTTCTTTGTTACTGTTCGTTCTCCCAAAAAGTGTTCCCAAGAATGAATGAATAGAAGGACTCGCCCAAGTTTGAATTTGAGAGACTGAGGCGGCCCGACAGGTCGAGAGGAACACCCATTGTCTCGAGATGCTCAAAACAATTGATTGTCACAAACTGGTCAAGGCAAAACAGGCATGAAGAGAATTTTGTCGCAGACGAAATCTACTAATATACCCAACTTTCCGCAGACCAATATTCCTCCTCTCGTCGGGCCCATTCCACATCACACGAGTCCTGCTTAGCATCCATAATCATCCTTCCTTGACAATCCTGGACACTTTGAATCCCCGTCCTCTAACAAGCCGTTATCCTGATGACCATCCAACGTGTCAAACGAGAACGATGAGCCGCTCAGTGTCCAGAAATTACGTACCGCATACTCGCAGGTCACTTCGTCACCTTTCTTATCCGTATAACTGCCAGACCATCAATCACTTTTCTCGATGAAGATGTGAGTGTGGCTTACCTGCACTCTGTGAACCCGTTTTCGGACTTCACATAGTTGCTCACTAGTTCGTAGGTCGCTACACCGTCGACATCCAACGTTTCTGGACACGTTGCGCATCCCGCGTTGACGCCAGCGAGGAAGGTGAGTAGGGCAAAAATAGTGAGGCGGGAAGTGAACATCTTAGAACTTGTTGCAGTGAGCAATGCAAAATCACAGCGTGAGGTATTTTATAAGTAGATACTCGTGAGTCGTGATTTTCGCTTCTAGCCTTCTACTAAGATATTCCATTCCAAAGAAGAGTCAAAACTTGTTTTGAACACGCCACCTTTCAAAGATGCACTGCTACCGTGTAGCTCAGGATGGTTTGGTAAGTGCTCGTTCTTGATTTACATTTCACTTCGGCGGTGTACTATATATTCGGAGGAGACAGCTCATCAGCAAAACTCATGATTTTTGCTTGTCCGAAAGAGGTTTGATGCTCATGTGAGCTTACGGTGTTGGTGATCTTGGAGCAACGCGATTGATGGAACAGACTTCGTCGAAGTAGGAATTATAACATATATTACTTGAGCGGAAGCAAAATTATCTCGAGAAAAGACGTCATAAATTCCCAAGATGAGAGGCGAGCGACAGGAGAAACGAGAAATGAAGCTAATATATATCTTAGTCTCAGGAAAGAACACGAATTATGTACCTAGTAGAAATTAATATATCTACTGCTTGTTAACAAACAAGAACGACAAAAGGATAACGAGGGCTCAGATCTCAGTCTCGGGGAAGAACTGAGAACCCGTAGGCTCTATTCGAAGTATGCTTGTTAGCTTACTCCCCAGATCTGAGACGGATCGTTTGGACTCTGACATAAATTTGGTTATATTCTGACTCACTCGTGTCTTCATATGGCGTACCATCGGTTACGGTCTATTCGTGATCGATCTACATTTCGTGAGTCACAGAGTCAGACGGAGTAGTGGTATGTCTTTGGTGATCTTACATCTAGGACAACGAAGTTCAGGCTTGAAGCTTGAATTCCCTGTGACACAATTGATCCCCATACCGGTGGATACCCATTGTTTCGCGTACTCCAAATTGCAGCGACTGCCTTGCATCACATTCTCTGTCAGCATCGGATGTCAGACGGTGGTCATTCATGATATCTAATGGACGAATATTAGACGAGTTTCGCGACTCTGGACGTTTCTCGTTAGTATCGTAATGTGATCAATGACTCTGGTCATTGGTCAAGCGGTCACATCATGATATACTGTTGCTCAGAAGATCTGCTGCAAGACATAATACATCAGCAATGCGATAACCAAAGTTTACAAGCGGGTGAACAGAAAGAAGCAGATGGATATCATCGTGACCCACTGGAATTACGCGATAGTTCCCATTCTCCAATTTCGTTCCACAGTCGTCATGAACTACATTACAGCAGACAGCATCGTCAGCATGTATCCTGTATGGATTTGCGACAGAAAGCCTGAGAATTTCGTACATTCGCGCCTTCACAGGGAAAGGCACTGACGAAGTACACAAAGCGCGGATTCAAATTGTATGCGGAGCCTTTCCAGTTGGGAGAGCACTTGCTACACGAACCACGCGAGGTAAGCATAGACAGCGGACATCATGACAATAGGAATGGCGAGGACTCTAGCTTGCACAGACATGCCAGTCGTGGTATTGGGTCACGGATGCGCCGCGGGAAGCCGGAAGTAACCACTACATTTTGGTCGCAGCATGATGCGAAACGAAGAGAGCGATATATGGACATAACAGTAGAAACGAGAAAAGTATTAGCGATGCCATGACCAATCTGCCCAGTTGGGCAAATACCGAGGTCCGAGAAGCCACACAGTCACTTCCACCAACTTGCAGAGAAGAAGATATTTTCGTGGTAGGCCTGTTCTTAGGTGTGCGTCTGGGTGTAAGCTGTGAGTTCATGAAGCCATAAATCTACAAGAGCTGAATTTCGGAATTGATTGGAAGGTTTTGCCACCAACTTGAAGTTATGTAAAGGGCCCGGGCCAGGCCGTCCGCCGTCCGTATTATCTACAGACTTTCAATTTGATCACTCCTCCCGTACAGTTGTCTTTTCCGTTGATCATAAGCATCGCACAAGCGAATACTCCATGCATGCCTGCCTGCTCATTCCAGAGATCGTACAACTCATTTTCACCAACGTTCATGTCTACGGCACCGATGGTTCTATAGTAAATGTAAATTTTGTAGATCTCTACTCCAAACTATCTACGCGACGTTATGTGGCTGGGTGACATTCTCTAGCCGCTCTCTCTCGGGTCTGTCGTGCCTTCAAAGATATAGCTTTGGATGCGTTATGGGTCAAGCTGGATAGTCTGGAACCTCTTTTCGCTTGTCTTCCACGAGATTTATGGACCATGACTGATGATCGGAAGCTTGTATGTGCTGTAATATGCCGCGATTCTTACCCATCATGCTAACTTCTTTCATGGTGTCGCTGTTAGCTCATACAGAGACCTGTAACCGAAGCAGATTGGTCGGTCTTCGAGCAATATGCATCTCGGGTGCGGATTTTGGGAAACGCAGATTTTGATTTTTTCGGAGGCATAGACGCGGAGTTTGTCTACGCCATGATAGGTTTTTGTTCACAGTCGCTCCTGGTGCCCAACCTTCGAACACTCTGCTGCAAAGGATATCGATATCCTGATGTTTTCCATTCGTGTATGCGTTACCTCCTGGGTCCCAACCTCATTTATCTGTTTGTGGTTCCCCCAACAGAGGGTTTTTTGTCCAGCACCATGCCTTCAGTGTTATCAGATCTCGACAGGCATTCACCGCAATTAGAAGTCATCGAGTTCGTCGGACCACATTCAATGTGCCCTCGAGTCAGTGAGCTTGCTCTCTGTGGGCTCACGCACCTGCGGAAGGCAACTCTCATCTTTCAAAGCCGGGAAGATCTGTCCTAGTTATCTCGTATCGTTGGTCTTCAAGAGTTGCAGATCGTCCTCGTTGGAATTCTCCCTCCCCTCAGATCTCAGTTTCGTACCTCTTACCTGGAAAAATTAGTCATCCACTCATTCAATTTGACCACGAATGGAAGTTCAGTAGCAGGGTGGGTTGTTCCATACAGACAGCTGCAGCTCATTCCTACCTTTACTGAATCCGCGGTTGCCATCGAACGTGTCCTGCGCATGTTGGACCAACGTCTACTTTTTGATGTTCTGGAGCATATCCTACTAGACGTAGTATTCGGGCCTAATCATAATCATATCGACAATGCATTCACCCTGCAAACATTCACTCCCCTTATGCGCTTCTCCAGTCTGAAAGAGGTTGACCTTTCGACATTTTGTATGTCATTGCTTGATGATGATGATCTTGGTTCCATCGTCAAGTCCTGGCCACACCTCGAGTGCCTTTATCTCGGGACGAAATGTTTCTGGCAGACGCCACCCAAAATAACCTTTCGGGGTCTTGTGACCTTACTTGCTACCTGCCCCGATCTCAGAAACCTCGGTTTGGTATTCGACACTACGAAGGTAGATTCGCCTACGGCTGAGACATTAGGTCGTGGGGTCTCTAACACAAATATCACCCACTTTCATGTTGGGTGCTCTCCGATTGAACAACCACTGCAGGTTGCGGACTCGCTTTCGGTAGTTTTGCCGTGCTTGGGAGAATTTATTGTCGAGTCCCGGCTAGTTAAGCCTGGGGGTCAGAGCGGTCCTGACCGACAGGCACGAAATGCCAAGTGGGGAGAGGTATTGGAGCATACTTTAATCAAGCAAGAGAGTAACGCTACAGTGAAGACCAGGAATGTGACGAGCTGGCTCACGCGAAAAGTAGCTCGGCGCGAGCGATTGTTGAGATGTTAAACGTGGTTTTCAATAGTAGTTTCTACTGTGACCACTGTACACCATGGTCCATACCACCAATATCCATAGTGATGCCATATGGCTCCATGTAGTTTGCAAGGTACTTGTTTCAACGTAGAACCTGGGTCGACGTAGGGCGCGTAAGGTGTTGATAACTTGCATCAAACTTTGAACTGGATATGGTGGAGAACAAGAAGCACAATAATGCAATCGACAACCCGCTAATAATAACATTACATACATATGCTGGACAACCACAAGGTTTTTGGAAGAGGCTATGAGAAAACAACAGTATCAATAAGGGATGAGCGCAAATAAAATCACGACGTCACTGGAAAAAAAAGATAACATAAGTTCAAGATCAAAGAAACACGAACGCCAGGTACTTACTATAACTAGCGGGATCAATGTGATCAGGAAGCTCGGGCACGGCGACCTCAAACCGTAGCTGGATGGCAGACATGACTTGTTGGTCTGCCTCGCTGGATTGAAACGTGATAGCTAGACCCTTCGTTCCGAAACGACCTGCACGGCCGACACGGTGAAGATAACTGTCAGCGTCTGGTGGGCAGTCGTAGTTGATCACGATATTGACACGTTCAACATCAATGCCACGACCAAAGATATCGGTTGCAACAAGGATACGCTTTTCAAAGGCCTTGAAGGCAGTGTAACGATTTATACTAAAACAGGCATTTAGTACGGAACGCCCAAAGCCATTAGCAATTACTCACCGCTCCTCTTGAGCCAAGCCTGAATGGATGCTGATACTGGGGAAATTACATGAAACTAGGAGCTTGTCCAGCTCGACGGCCCTTGCAACAGATTTGACGAAGATGACGACCTGGAAATCGTTGATAAATACATCTTGTTAGAGAAGATGGATCGTACTTGGTTGAACTCCAGGACATCTAGTAGCTCATTTAACTTCCGGTTCTTCGCATTCTCATCAAGCTTCACGTAGTGTTGCTGTAATCCGTGCAGCGTCAACTTCGTCTCGTCATCAACGAAGATCTCTAAAGGCTGCCGTAAACGTCAGTCAAAAATCCAGAACAAAGAATGCATAACGTACATTTGCCATAAATTTCTTGCACGTAATCCTGATTTCTTTTGCTAGCGTAGCGCTGAACATCATCACCTGCTTGTGGTGAGGTGTTGCACGGAAGATTTCTTGGACGTCTCGACGCATGTCTACGAATCAAACAAAACACAGCGGGGAGACGTGGTTGGAATCCTAGCCGAATTCGAATTGCAGGATGAGACTAACCGAGCTGTTCGAGCATTTTATCGCACTCGTCCAAAGTGAAGTGCTTGACGTTCTTCGCATCCAAAACTTTTTCTCTCGTAAGGGCATTGAGTCGTCCGGGAGTGGCCACAACAATGTGGGGACACCGCGTCTTGTCACGGAGGATCTCCGCATCTTTTTGAACAGGGGTACCGCCATAGAACGTGCCAATCCGCACGTCAGGCATATATTTTGCAAAGCGCGTGTACTCGTTCTTTATCTGGAAAGCGAGCTCGCGGGTATGGCAAAGTACAATGACGGAAACTTCGCCATTGACTGGCTCAAGTTGTTGTAGAGTTGCAAGCACGAAGACCGCCGTCTTGCCATGCCCTGACTTTGCTTGGCAGAGGACGTCCATTCCCAAAACAGCCTGAGGTATACATTCTTGTTGGACTGTTGTAAAAAGAGTTTGGTGAGTTAAGAGCACCGTTCTGAACGTCACTAAAGTATACCTTCTGAGGGGTGTTCAAAACCTAAATCACTAATAGCCCTCAAAAGTTCAGGTTTCAACAAGAAGTCCCTGTGAGAAAAGGAGACAGTTCACAAGATGAGTATGGTTTATGACAACCTAGAGAAGAAACAAACCTGAAGCCTGTTGAATGTATTCCAGAGAAGTTTTTCTTGTCTTTGTCGCCCTCGCCGTCCACTGTTGACGCCGTTGCTCCATTGGTAGAAGTAGCTGGGACTGCGCCATTAGGGATAACGTCGTGCTCATCCTCATAATCAATAAGTTCCTCGTTGTCGTGAGAGCTCATTGTTGTGCAAAAAGAATGTAGTTTGTCAGTTCTAGAGGTCGTCGACAGAATTCAAGAGGCAAGCGTCCGGCGAATTCCGAACACTGACTCCTTTCGATCTCCGTGTTCCGGGGTCCTCGTTAAAGCAACTACTAGTCTTTGCGCAAAAACGGCTACAGAGTAGCTTGTTTCAAAATAGTACATACAACACTCCTCAGGCCTCAGTAGTCTCTCAAAACAGGCATGTGAGCGAGGGCCTTTCAAGGGATATTTCTAAATTGTGCAGTCAGTCGTAGAATGCTTCTCATTCTCATGTCTGCTAGTTTTGGCAGCATTGCAATAGGAAGCTCGGTGTATTTATGTGTCCATGTCGCCTTCGCTGGTTAGATTCAATGGCATTAATCAGCGCCGTCATTAGAGGTGGGCTTGAACGTGCTCGTCGTCTACTGTGCACGCTGGCTGACCCTTTTGGTTGCACAGAAGCAAGACGTACTGCGCAATACGAGACAATGAACTATATTGAGATTAGGGAGACGCTCATCTGTCGTCGATTAAGTATGTCAAATGATGATCGTGTAAACCCCAAGATACCGATAAAGATAGGCGGTGTTCTCTCCAAGATAACAGGCGTAGCGCTCCGGTCTTTCGTGATTGGTTGATTCCGAGTCTCCACCAGGTATCAACGTGTCGCTAGTATCGAGAGAAATAGCCTTGCTTCAAGAAACGTGATCGGAAACTTGTGAGGATCAAGCATGTCCTTCTGGAAAATTCGTGGGCAGCCAAAACCTTGGGACGCCAAGACCTTCGATTAGAAAGAGGCTTGATGACCCCACGAAACACTGCAGTGTAGCCATTGGTTTAGCATGGGAAGGGACCGAAAGCACTGTTGCCAATAATACTTTGAGCACAGACTCGCACACTGGATTGTCAGCAATTTCAGCCACGACCAACCTGCACTCGTACAGCTTCACCTGTTCCAGGTAGATACCCTACAGGAGGGAGTTGATCAGCGACATATACCTTAAACCCACCCTTTCCTACAATAATAATCGAGCGAGGAAGCAGGAATGTGGTCAAATGGGGAGCTCTCACCTAATGAAACAAGGCTTGCGAAGACGCACCTCTGCCTTTATACTGTCTCGTACCGTATTAAATGATACCCGGAATGTATTTATCCATGCCCTGACAGAATCGGACTCGTCGACGCCAGCAAGCAAGCAAGCATAGGGCATCCGATTATTCCAGGTCGCGTCAAAGGCGGCCTGACGTCCTGACGTCACGTGATCTGGGTATAAGCCCCATTTGTTTGGTGGATCTGATTTCATCTTCTCTCAGTGAAGCCGCACTTCTCTGCCTTAGAGCTTCTTAGACGCGACAATTCTTTGATTTTATTCCATTAGGAGCGGCAATGGGTGCACGGCATGCACTCATCGACTAGGGTCATTTTGCCCGCTGCATTTGAGGTCGCTGAAATAGATGATCTCGCTCTTCTCATAGGTAACTCGAATCCAGTACTGTGTGATTCATTCAGATCTAATTGACATCTGAAGCTAATATGCTTGAACGATTGATCGCTCATAATGACAAGATACCACTTCTACCGTATGTCCATCCCAAAACCATTCTTATCGTCCCCCTTCACTATTTTCATTCCCAGCGAGAGCCTTACCCGATTTCACTCGAGAACCGTACCAAACATCAGCGTCCTCGATTATCTCCGGCGTATAATCAAATGGACAAAAGTCGAGGTCCGTATCCATTATTCAATACTTAAAACCATCCGTCTCACCCGTATCTCAGAAATCATGCCTTCTCCTCACACTACACTATGTCGACCAAATCTGCGCCCGCATGCCCCTCTTCACCCTCTCCTCCCTCACCTGCCACCGCTTCATAATCGCATCCATCACAGTCTGCAGCAAAGGCCTCTGCGACTCCTTCTGCACAAACGCCCTATACGCCCGCGTAGGCGGCATCCCCGTCCCAGAACTAAACATCCTCGAACGCGAATTCCTTCACACAATAGACTGGCGCTTAATGGTTCGCACACATCGATCCTCCTCCTCCCCGTGTTTTCCTCTCACATTTTCGCAGTGCACCCGCGAAGTCCTTCAGGAATATTATATCAATCTCATTAGAACAGATAGCTCGGGCCGCTTTGGGCTTGAAGGTGCACCGGAGTCGGAGGTGGAGGATAGCGATATGGACAGCTTGTCCTCTCGCTCGGCGTCCCCTATGGACACACAAGTCCGCCATCGTCCGTCGTTTAGCCTCCTGGGCAACCGCGAGTCTTCAAGCGTTTTGGGAGATACTTCTACGCTCCCTACTATCGAACAGAACATGGCGTTTGCTGCGTTGCAGCATTCGCTGAAGAAGCCTCCATAGACCTAGGAGTTCGGTTTGGGGCTTCGGTTTGTTATACCGATGGCATCGTACGTACGTACGCACGCCGCCGTCGCACGGACGCACTCCCCGGCGATATTTTTCGTCACCGGCTCATCATCTCGCGCCATAGATTGGCATTTAGTCATCCCAGCGCCATGCGTCAACGTTCAACGTCAACTTTTATCCCCCCAACATATTTCCGTCTCTGCATACATACATACGCACGTGGCTCGCAAAAAAATCATTGTAATCACAACATCACTTACAAGGGATTACAAAGATGTCCGAAATTCAATGAATGACATGGGTTTACAAGTACCTACTGTAACGAGCGACAAGGCCAAAACCAGTGAATTTACGTTTTTTTTCTTATCTTGCAAAAAAAACGAATCTATAGTATTGTATGCGTATCAAGTAATGGTGTAATACAGTCCGAGAGCGAATTCGAATGAGCGTAGTTGGTTGGGTTTTTGTAACAAAGGTAATGAAAAATGCAATGATTTGGTTGGTTATGGTTTTTTTGAGACTTGCGCGAGTTTGAGGTTTGAATTGGGTTTGGTTGGAGATTATTATGCACAGATAAGAAGTAGCAGCACAATATATGCACAACGACCTTTGAGCCTGTACCCAAAACCAGCATGAGCGGATGGATTACAATGATGAAAAAGGCTGGTGTTCGCACCGTAAGTAGTTGGATACCATACAATACATCGACCGCCTCCACCACGACAACAGCACCTACAGGCCATAAGCCGTCTAACAAGAACAACAAAAACACACACACACACTTCCGACTTTCACAACGTACATCCTCAGAGCCTCAAAGCAGAGAGCATCTTTGCCAGCGCATGGATCTGACCCTTCTGCACCTTTTTCGGCGTCTCCTCCTCACCACCCCCCAAATCAGTCGTACTAGTAGCAGCATCCCTCAGCGGTACAGGCTTCTCGTTGATCGTATCCAGCTTCGGTTTCCTCGTCCGCGCTTTCCGCTGGGGAGGCTGTCCGAAGATATCGCCTACGGGATTAATATGGAGCTGTCGTGGAAGCTCGTCGAGTTCCCAAGGGACACCATTCATGACTATTACCGACTCGTGTCAGCAACGTGCCCACAAAAGTAAATGAGAGGACGTACTCTTGATATTCTTCGGAACCTGTGTTGTAGCCTGCCCCCCATTCCTCCAACTGCCACTGCCACTACTCACACTCGTAGCAGTCGTCGACACGCTCCTCACGCTCGAATTGCTGTACCGCGTGAATGTAGAGGTGCTCGTGCTTGCGCTGCTCATTGAGCTTCGCCAGTTGGTGCTGCGGACACTGCCTGGTGGTGAATGACCTCTTACGCTCCCGTTTGCATTGACGTTGGAGTTCCCATTGTTGACAGAAGGAGCGGGGGTGCTGAAGGCAGTGCTAAACGTAGACGAACCAGGTCTCCGCCCGCGCGCCCAGGTGCGTGCTTCATCCGCCGGACTCCGCTGTCTCGTAAGCGGGTTGTACACACCACCACCATTGACACTCGTACTCGAGTTGACATTGATAGCATTGTGTGTGTTGTACGGTGAGGGTTTGAGACTGCCGCTTGGATTTAGTGTAGGTTGGGAGAGCCCCATGATAAGAGTAGTGACGTTGCTCGCGGTGCCTGTCGCCGGTGTCTCTTCCGTGGGTGTAACAATAGTCTTGCCGCTCCCGAAACCCAACTTCCACTTGCTTGGCTTCTTCACGACCACAGGCCTCGGCGCTTCCGTCTCCACAGTGGCAAGCCTCGCAAGGCTCGAAGCATGACTCGCATTCCTATCCAAATCAACGATACCAAGCGACGAGCGGCTTGCACCCCGACTCGCAAGACTGATCTCCCGTGCCAAGCTCTGCGAAGCGACAGCAAGCGTCTGGAGTGTCTCGTCCGTTGTCGTTTTCTGCGCTGCTTTTCGCGACCCGCGCTTTCCCCGTTTCTTCGTCGATCGTGATCGTCCGTCGTCGTCTTCGTTGTGCTCGTCTTGGCGCTCACGAGAGAGGTCTTCGGGTTCTTCGACGAGGACACCACCGACACTCGGAGCTCTGCTCAATGACCTGCTGCATACGAGTGGGGTGCGCAGTGCTGCGCGGGATGAGGGGCGGCGAGAGGGCGGGCATGAGGAGAGGGGGTGGCCGAGTGTTGATGAGGCTGTGCTGAGGACACGCTTGTGGCCTCTGTGGGAGGACTCACGATCGCACAGGAGGGTAGGGAGATCCTTGATCCATGCACCGAATTGGCGGGCGGTGACGGGCATGTGGCTAGCGTCAAATGGGGGTAGGACGAATACGCGCTGGGTGAGGAACTCGGCGACGGGCCAGGTCATGCCGGTAAAGCGCTGCATGAAAAAGTGGGCGCCATGTGCGCGGAAAAGAGAAAAAGAGGAACAGGCACCGTCAGAGGTATCTGTCCATGGATTATAGTGGTACAACCTGATAGGAACATTAGAAATCATTCAAGAACGAAAAAGTAGCATACATATTGATCAAGACGATACCAAGACTCCAGACGTCGCTTCTCTCGGGGCTGTAGGTCGGAGCTATGTTATTACGGCACTCGAAGCTCATGTAGGGCGCGCTCCCACAGTCCATGTCGGCACTTTCCACCTCGTTTGTGCTCAGGCCAAAGTCCGTGAGTTTGACTAGGACTTTGCGCTCCATGTTGTCTGAAGAGGAAGAAGGTGCGTAGCCGTCTGTGACGATAAAGTTTTCTGGCTTGATATCGCGGTGAAAGACACGCTGGTCATGACATGCGGCGACTGCATCGCACATTTGGGCAAACATGCTTGCGATGAGTCTGAGGCGGGTGTGGCTTAGCAACGCAGAGGGGTGAAGAGAGGCGAGAAGAGAAGGGGTAGGAGGAGTCTTGCTCTCTGCGTTCTCGTCTGGGGCATAGTGATCGCGTGCTTGCTCGAGGAAATAAAAGAGATCTTCGCCAGGGACAAACTCCAAGACAAGGAGTAGAAAAGCGTCAGTCTCGAGTGTACGGTGGAGTGTGACAATGTTCGGATGTGGAGAGAGGGATTGATGTATTGTGACTTCTGTGAGCTGTGCTGTGAGAGCGTCGGAGTCGAGGTTTGCCTTTGAGAGGACTTTAAGAGCAAAATCTCTGCCATAAACGATAGGTGGAGGGGATGGATCGAGATCAAGGACGCCAACGTGGCCGTCGTCGCTGATGGGCATACGGGAGATGACTTCACGGACGAGATAGACGACTGCATAGCTGCCTGTTCCTAGTCTACGAACGACTTGGAATTCTTTTGCAGTGTTCATATCTATTGGAGCGAGGACGCAAGGACGAACTGGATCGCCCTGGAGAAGTAAGTCCTCGCCTACGAGGTCGCCTGGAGCTAAGACATCTTCTATGAGAGATGATACTGATGGAAGAATTGGGCTTGGTGGTAAGGGTGGCGATGGAATTGAAATTGGGGATGGAATAGAAATTGGTAAAACAGGTGGAGTCAGAACCGAAGAAGGTTGTTTGCGAATTTGTTCTTTAGCGAAACGCCTGTTGAAAAGACGAGAATGTGCATGTGGGTAGTCATTATGGGGAATATCTTTAGTACGATTCTGTTTATAGGGAAGAGGAAGAGGAATCGGTTGAGCGGAATACTGCAACATGAGCTCGTATAGTCGGGGGGGGGATAGTTGTAATGCGTTATTGGAACAACGAAGGACGTCAAAGAAGACGATGTTGACTGCTTGTGATCGCTGTCGTTGTCGTCGTCGCCGTTGTCGTCGTCGTCGTCGTCAGACTGCTCAGAGTCTTCAGAAACCTGCTGGACGGACTTCTGAGAGTATAATATTAGTTGTAATGCATTCAACGTATCTGTTGAGAAGTGAGAATTGGGGAATTTAAGTGTGATGAAACTTACGAAGGATGGAGGGAAGAGCTCAAGTCACTTTGCGACGCAGTTAGGTTTAATAGCCATGTGCTACACTATTTCCATAAATGGTTAACTCTCGAGTTTCGAATCTTTTAAAAACATTTTACAAAAGCTCGTGGTAGTAATACTAGTTGACTAAATCTTACTCGTTAACTCGAATCAGCTTTCAACGTCGTGTCCTACGACGTCGAGCTACATGTTATTTTACGTGCATTTACTAGTACCGTAGTTGATCCACATGCTCGCATACCATAATTAGCTTCAGACCATGCGTTCTTGTATCTAACGCCATTTAATCAAATTTCATTTCCTGCCTCGTTGCCTTTACTCCAACTCGCTTCCGTTATCCCCCGGCAATACATACACCCCCGCATGCTGCGCTCAGCAGGGCGCATCACCCAGTGCTAAGCCTGCACCAAGTACCACCATCCTTAGGGGCAATATATGTCTTATCAATATCGACGTGGCAAATGAAATACTCGTGTATGATGCATGATCACACCATACAACTACTTATTGTAATGCTAATATAGCAATGCCACGCCACCCTCGTGCATCATTTCATTCAACTACCCATTGTCTACGTGATCACTACTACGTGGTATCTGATATTCCTGTGCACAGTCGATCGATCACCCATTAACTTTTCACGGCAACGTTAACCGAACTCGCGACCCGCAGAGCGCAGTACTGTCACAGGGCATGTCCGCAGCAGCGCCTCAGCTGCAGAACACTCGGAGATCCAGCAAGATGCAACCAACCAACCTACCACCGCAGTCTCGGATGCCGCAACATACATCCTCTTACTTTACCTACTTCCATTCGATTGCCTCGTAATAATATCATCCGACTTATTGGTCTGTTAATTCAGATTCCATGTCCGAACAGCCCTCCACGCCCCGTGTTAGATCTCCTTTGCAAAACCCGCCCCAAAAGTCCATGGATACCAGTGACCAGTCTAATCACCTTTCAATATCCGTCATCTCGATATAAAGGAGCCTCGAACAGTCCAAACCCATTACAGTGTCCGGCTTAAAGACAGTCAACAACCCGCGGAGCTACCCTTGCAAACAATTTTGTCCCTCGCAAAACTGGGCATTCCTTGTGTACTATCGGTTTCGTGAAGGATATATCTTATCGTGCAGGGACATCAGCAGGAACTTATCCATAGTCCCTCTCAACATAATCGACGATCATAGCACAAACTCGCCCCTCATCAATTCGTATTCTATTCAAGGCCCAGCCCATACCGCGCGCCGTTCAGCAGGAATCTATGATGACGATCCGGAACACTGAAAGAAGA